TTAAAGGAATGTACAGTTTTTGTACCTTAGGCACAGGCTTTATTCACTACTGAAAACTCGGGGTGGGGGCCTTCTAAGGAGTATGGTTTTTGGTCTGCTACATCAGTAAGTCAACTAGTGATCATGGCTGTCCTGTTTGTACAAGATAGCCTTGGGAGTTGACATCTATAGCTTGACTTCTGAATTGTATATGGTAACTGTGGGAATCAGTACTGGATAGTTCTGTATGTGCAGGGACAGAACTATCCTAACAGAAGGGTCAGCTTGTTCCTGTAGCAGGGAGGGATAGTTTGCCTCACTGAGGCCCCCTCATAAGTTATTGCCAGAGATAGGGTCTTTGGGCTGGGGAGAGATATGGTCCTAGGGCTGGGGTCCAAGTACCCCATCAGAAGGAAAAAAGAAAGGAAGGAAGGAAGGAAGGAAGGAAGGAAGGAAGGAAGGAAGGAAGGAAGGAAGGAAGGAAGGAAGGAAGGAAGGAAGGATTGCCAACTGGAAGTGGCCAGTTGGGTCCCCAGTGGGGCAGCTAATACTAGTCTGGGATCTGAAGAGATGAAGAAGGAGGGCCCTAGGTGCCACTCTGTTGATCAGGAACAGAGCTGGGATAGGAATCCAGGTCTTTTGATAGTACAGTGCTCTTCCTGGAAACTTCAACTGCAAGTCAGTTTGAGCCACTTTTCCTTAATCTGAATTCTCTTTTACTGTTGCTGGCATTTGAGCTTTTCTCCTTGTTACTCAGGAAGCATCAACAGTACTCATGATGCATCACCAGTACGCAACTCTGATAGAGAGATAGTATTTAAAGTTATGCTGACTCAGTGACCCATTGGTCCCCAGTCCTGTTTGTCAATCAGCCTTGGGGAAGGCGACCATCTTCAGCTTTTCTATTACCTGCTATCCAGGACAACTGTTAAGCATCACTTACAGGCAATTGAGGAGGAGGTGAGATGCCCTTTTGCTGAGGTGGAATTGTCTTTATCTCATCAATAAAGTTATCAATAAAAACTGACTTGAATCCCTGACTGATCTCTATTAATCAGCTTGTCAACCTTTTGCTACCTTGACATTTTATTAAATTCTTTTTAATTCTCTTTTTCCCAAGTTTTGCCTCTTTAATCAAGGTGAAAGCCCAAAGAAAGAATTTTCCTTTTAACAATAGAAAATGGGAGTTAAGTTAATGGTTACCAGAGGTTTGAAGGGAGCAATGAGGAAGTGAAGGAGCAAGGAGACAGAATAAAGTTAAAGGAAATGCAACATGCTTATTTTCATTCATTCAGTTGGAACCCTGCCCTCTTCCCCTTACTGCCAACCTCCTTCCCTCTCCCTCCGCACACATTGGAAAAAATCCAGTGGTTCCCTAGTACCTAGGTGATGCTGGGACTGGAGTCAAGAAGACCTAAGTTCAAATGTGACCTCAGACACTTACTAGCTGTGTGATCCTGAGCAAGTCATTCAACCTCTATTTGCCTCAGTTTCCTTTCCTGTAAAATGAGAATAATAATAATAATAATACCTCCTTCCTAGGATTGTTGTGAGGATCAAATAAGATAACATTTGTAAAGTGCTTCGCACAGTGCCTGGCACATAGTAAGCACTATGTAAATGTTAACCTTATTATTGTTACTCTTCTCCACATATTCTGTGGAGTGTTCCACAGTGACATCAACCTTGCTTTTCCTCACACAAGACACACAAATCACCTAGCTCTGCATTTTCACTGGCTGTGACTCATGCCTCAAATACTTTCCCATTTCATTTCCATCTCCAGGCTTCCTTCAAATTCCAGAAAAAAATTCTGCCTTCTGCAAGAAACCTTTGCCAGTCCTCAATCTTAGCACCTTCCCTTTGAGATCCTCTCTGATTTATCTTGTTGATATCTTGTTTTTATATAGTTTGCATGTTGCCTCCCCTATTCAACTATGGGATTTTTTTGGGGGGGGGGTGGGGCTTTATTTGTATCCCTTGTGCTTATGAAGTGCTGCCTCTTAGTAGGTACTTAGTAAATGACTTACACCAGCTGCAAAGAATTGGACTTTGAACCCAGGCTCTTTGATTCGAAACCCAACCTTCTTTCCAGTCAGTGGTATGCAAATAAGTGTTTCATAACCAGCTAGAGATGGGGAAAGGGACACACTTTTAATTTTAATCTGCATTATTAACATTTTTTCCAGCACTTTCTTAAGTCTAGACAGTCAACAAAACAATACCAATTTCAGAGAGTATAAAAGCTTGCCAGCTCCAGCAGACTTCTGTTTCCAGTGCACTATGTTAGAAGAAAGCATGGACATGTGGAAAAGGCTGTCTGGGGAACATATAGTAGTTAAATTTGATGACAAATATGTTGTTTTTAAGGGAGTGGTGGGAAATAAAATTGGAAAGGTAGGATTGTAGAGTGCTGAATAACAGGCTGAGGAGTCAAGGCTTTATTACGTTGACACTGGGGAGCCATTGGAGTTGTTTGGTAGGACTGGTGACAGTCAGGTACAGTGCTAAGTGTTGACATAATCAGAGTAGAGCTTTAGAAAGATTAATCTGGCATCAGAACATAGGCTAGATCAGAGGAAGGAGAAGGGAACAAGGTGAAGGCCTACTATATGCCAGGTGCTTTATAGATACTGTCTCATTTGTTCCTCACAGCAACCCTATGATGTAGATGCTATTATTATCCCCATTTTACAGTAGAGAAAACTGAGGTAGAGATTAAATGACTTTCCCACTATCACAGAGCTAATTAAGAATGTGAGGCAGAATTTGAACTCCAGGCCCAGAGCTACCTATGGGCAGAAATCAAAACTACAGAGTTGGAACAGACCTCGGATGCCATCTAAGCCAATTCATCATTGGATTGAAAAAGCAAGAACTAGAAGCAGGGAAAAAAAGTTAGGAGGATTTTGCAACAGCCTAGCCAAGAGATGATGACTTTAAATCCTGATTCTACCACTTGTGTGACCTAAGACAACAGAGGAGGAACCACAGTCTAGAAAGAAGACTAATTTTAGAAGACTAGAACCTGGACATCTCAGAATATTGCTACTTGGTGGGATCTTTTAACCCTCTTTAGCCTCCTCGGTAAAGCAAGATAAGATGAAGACACTTCCAGGTCTATATTGATGATCAAATGAGATCTGATTTGGCAGGCAGCAGTAGGCATGAAAGAAGGGGAATAGCAATAGTATAATAGAATTGAAATTCACTTCCAACCATCTCCACCAACTGTCTTGCCTTCTCCCAGGTACCCTTTCAAACTACACCTCCTCCTATCCCTCTTCGGTCTAGAATGTGATGTTTAAACGCTGACATTGTACGTGGAAGATGTGTTATTTCTGTGTCCGTCTATGCCCCATTTTCCATCCCTGTAACCTTCTAGACGGATGCATCCCACCGTGACTACCACTGCTCTCCCTATGTTGTCCACTTCTGTTTCAGATGTAAATTCCTTGAAGTCAGGGATCTTCTTCGGTTTTGTATTTGGGCAGTGTTTAGTACACAGTGAGCACATATTAAAGGCTTCTCCTTTCACTCATCAAAATGCCAGAATCCACAGCACCTTCTCTCTGATACTAGCCCCAGTTTATCCTGTCTATATCTTCTTGTTTGTACATAGCTATTCACATGTTGTCTACTCCCTTTAGAATGTGAGCTCCTTGAGAGCAGGAACTGTCTTTTGCCTTTCAAGGTATCCTCAGAGCTTAGTACACATTCTTTTTAGTTGACTGACTAGATATGGTCCATTAGAAAGATAACCCAATGGCTTTTAGCTTGGCAACTGGGAGAATGGGGGCATTGTGACACAAAATAGGAGAAAATAGAAAGACCTGAATCTTTTTCTTTTTGAGGGTGTGGGGACTGAAGTGAGAGTAGGGACAAGGTACAGGCTCCAGAGTCCAGGCCTTCTTCAGCATGCAGTGCTAAAGTTTTACGTGGCTAAAATTTGCGGTAGGAAACAATACTGGGGATAATTCAAATTCAGTAAATGTTAATCAAGCATCCACTAAGTGCAAAGCACAGTGCCACCAGAATGAGAAAGACTCAAATAAAAAATAAATTCCCTGCCCTCAAGGCAGGTTAAATCTAGTCTGAGAGCCTTGAACCCTTCTCCCTAGTCTTTAGTCCCTGTTTCCTCCTTCTCCAATAATCACCTTTATACTCATTTGTGCACCTGTAGTACACCCTCCCGCTATATAAGGATAGCTAGCATTTAAGCAGCACTCTAAAGTTTGCAAAGCACAAATAGTAACTCATTTTTATCTTTAACTACATTGTATCCCCATTTTACAGATGAGGAACCTGAGGCAGAAAAGGGGTAACAGATGACATAGCTAGAAGTGGGATCTGAACTCGGGTATTTCAGAATCCAGGTACTATGCCACCTAGATCCTCCGCAAAGTTATGCCCTAAAAATCATCGGATTGAAGAGGCAACACAATCGCCACGATCCCTAGCCTGAACTAGCAAAGCCCCAGACCACCCCAGAACCAGGAGGAAGGTGACGACCCCCACGCCGCCCTGTGACCACGCCCACCCGACCAGGGCGCAAAGAGCGCAGCTACGCCCCTCGCCTGGCCCCGCCCTCCACCTACGTTGGCTGAGCGACGCCGGCGCGGGCGGGGGAGGAAGCGAGGAGTGCACACTCATGCGCAAAGCGAACGCTCTCGAGTCCTCCTCAGGAAGGGCGGGCGGGGTGAGGGGTCAAGTCCACCCTTGTCTCGGCCCAATCCCTTCGGCTGGTCTTCCAGTACGGAGGAAGCCCGACCGGGGTTGGGTGGGGGGGGAGGCTTTGGGAGGAGCCAAAGCCGCGCCGAATCTCGCTTCCGGAAGCCACGCTCTGCGCCTCGTGGTCATGTGCCTGCTCGGCTGACTTTTGGCGCGAGAACCTGAAAATTCGCCGAGATTGAGTGCAAACGGGATTCGTCATCGGAACCCCAGGTCCGTGGCGCGTGTGCGCCTGCGTATCTCCACCCTTCTCCTCCCCCCACCCCCCCCCCGCCACCGCCCCTACCTCGGTCCGTCCGGCGCCGGGAGGTCTCGTCTTATCTCCCTGCAGGGCAGCAACCCCAAGGCCAGTTAGTACCGACCTGGGGGCGGGGGTAAGTGTTGACCAAGGTCTTGGCCCGCCCAGCTTCTGTCCCTCTCCGGGTCTTCCTCTGCACCGCTGACCTAAGGATTGGAATTCGAAAGAAACAGTATTCGTAGTGAACCCTCCCGGACCTCAGTTTACTTCTCCGTGAAATGGGAGGGTTAACCCACGACACAGCTGCAGCTCTCCGGTGCTGACGTTCACTGATGACCTCCCGTTTGTTTCTTCTGTCATTGTTCCCCCCACCACCACCACTTTGTAGACTTTAACAGACCAGTAATACTGGGGGCAAGAAAATGCCAGCTGGATACCAGGGAGAAACAACTTTTTTTGAAGTTTTTAAGACACGGTGCAGTGAATCAGGTAGGACGTGTTATTTCATTGTACAAACTCCACATCACAAACCTTTTTAACAGTTTTAGCCACCACTGCTTTTTTTCATTAATATTTATTTTCATTAAATTAGCCATACCCATAGCACTCCCCCTTCCCCCTTTTTAGAATGCCCTTGAGGGGGCAGCTAGGTTGCGCAGTGGATAGAGCACCGGCCCTGAAGTCAGGAGGACCTGAGTTCAAATGCGGCCTCAGATCAGGCACTTGACACTTACTAGCTGTGTGACCCTGGGCAAGTCACTTAACCCCAATTGCCCGAAAGCAAAAAAATAAAATCATAAAAATTAAAAAAATAGAGTGTCCTTGAGGACAGGGCATGTCTTGTTTATATTTCTATCCCTTTCCCTTAGCAGGGTGCCAGGCATGCCAGAGAACAATATTTTTACATTCATTAATCCTATATAAAAGTATGTTTATGGGCCTTTCTAGTGAGAAATGGGACTCAATGATGAATATTGAGCACCTGCAGATTGGTAAGTCTGGCAGGTTCCTTGGAAAATAGTTTAAAGCACCGCTAGAAACTTTATTTGCAAGACAATTTAAAGATAATCTGTATGTCTTTAGGAGATATTTAGTGATAATTTGTGTGTTTTTAGGAGATAATGATAAAAAAAAGTATTACTTTAGGAGAAAGGGGTTTTTTTGGTCCCTCTTTATTTGCTATAAGGTGTGTTAAATATTTTAACTGCCTGCAAAGTAACTTTAATAGACACTTAATCGCTATACTGTATTACTTGTCACTGGATTGTGTAAATATATGTCAGGCTTAGAATAATTGGTGACTGAAAATTCAATTCAATAAACATTTAACACCTGTTATGTGCCTGGTACTCTAAGTGCTATCTTCGTACCATTATGCAGTGTTTGTAATAAAAAATGTTGTAAAAATATGTGGTAGACGTCATCTACCCGAAACCTCTCACTTAAACATTAAAGAGAATACCCTTTGGTTATATTAAAGAAGTAATAACAATACTGTCATAATTCACAATAGCTTAATATAGTTCTACTATAACTTTCTTTTTTTTGCTAAATGATGGGGTTAAATGACTTGCCCAGGCTCACATAGCTGGGAAGTGTCAGTTGTCTGAGGCTGGATTTGAACTCGGGTCTTCCTTGACTCCAAGGCCAGAGCTTTATCCACTGCCCCTCGCTGCCCCCTACTATAGCTTTCTAAAGAGATTTTCTCTTATAGCAAGCATTTATTAAAAGTCTTTTTATTGTTGTTGTTGTTGAGTCATGGTCAACTTGCAGATCAAGGTGAAAATGATGCTGTACAAAGTTAAACATTTTGCATCTAAGTTCCAGAAATAAATAGTACCGGCTTTTATACATAATGAACCAGTCAATCAATAAACATTTATTGTGTACCTACAAGCACTAGGGATACCTAAGGAAGCAAAACACAGTCTCTATCCTCAGAGCTTGCCATCTAATGGGGAGATAACATAAACATATATAAAAAGCAAACCATGTATAAGATAAATAGGAAATAATTAATAGATGGAAGGTACTGGAATTAAGAGGAGCAATTACTTGGTAGTATAGAAATGAAGATAGTAGGGGAAGGAATATTGAAGGGGAAAAATTGGAGTTTAAATTATTAGTGATGCATTTGTCCAGCTCTACCACAGATCAGTAGACATGCTTCTACCTCTACTAGGCTGTTTCCCACTTTACCCCCTGTGCTGTTTCCCTAAATATTGTTTCTAACCCAATGAACATAGATGCTTATGACAGCTTGACTTAATATTACCGAATTAAAAACAGTTTGATCTAATTCTTACCATTTTTTCATTTGCCAAAGCAATAAAATCTCATATTATGAATCTGTGTCCCTGAACATTTAGATGACATTGATTAAAGCTTAAGGTGTAAGGTATTTGTTTTGTTTTTGGTTTTGGTTTTGGTTTTTTCACAGATTTAGGGCCAATAAGCCTTAACTGGTTTGAAGAACTTACTTCAGAAGCTCCACCTTACAATTTTGAAACTTCAGAGGATCATGGAAATAAAACTGAAATTATTGAGTTGACTTCTTTTAAAACACCTCAGCGGAAACCTTTCACTTATAATCAGCTGGCTTCAACACCATTAATCTTCAAAGAACGGAATGTAAATTTTTCATTGTATTCCCCTCCTTTAAGAGGACCAGATCATTGCAAATCAGACATAGGTAAGTAACTTTTGTTTGAATATAGATTTTTAAAATTTATTCACAAGAGTGGATTTTTTTCCTATATTAAAAGTTGTGGTTTGTTTTGATTATATATATTTTTTAAAAAGCCAAACTATGATACATTTGTATGTTGCCATGTAAGACATGAAAGAGTTGTCAGTGAATCAAAAAGATCTATGCTTGACCCTGTGTTGTTGAATCTTTTTATCAGTGCCTTTGATAAAGGCGTGGATGATGTCCTTATCAGATTTGCAGATGACGTTAAGCTGGGAGAGATGCTGACCAGAGAGAATGATGAGGCAGATCCCAGATGATCCTAAAGGGCTAGAATATTGGATCACATAATTAAAGTATTACAATTTTGGATCCAAAATGTCAACTTCAGGAGTACAAGATGTCTGGAGACATGATGAGAGCAATTTGTATGGAAAAAAATTTAGGGATTTTAATGGACTAAAAACTCATCCTCAGTCTACAGTATAATATGGCATCCAAAAAAAGGGAACATGACCTTGGGATGCATCAAGAGAGAAACAGCTTTTGACAGTAATTATATATTTTTTAAAGTTTAGAGTATTGCTACAATATACAGCTATCTCTACAACATCTTTTGCACAGGTCTATCTTTGATGTGTGAGTTTCCTATTCGATTAACTTCTGTGGCTTCCTGTTGCCTCTAGGATTAGCTATAAACCCCTCTGTTTAGCTTTCAAAGCACTTCACCATACCCTATCTTGACAACTACATTGGATATTGCTTCCTTTTTGAACATCTTTTGCCACAGACAGCTTCTCCCAACTCACACTTCATGATGAGGTCCTCATCACCTCCAGCTTAGATTATTGCTATTGCTGGTGCCTTCCCTCCCAAGCTACCTTGTATCACTTTGTATACATTTGTATTTATTCACTTTATGTTGTGTGTATACATATATGCTAGGAGACAGTAGGGTCACAAAACTAGAGAAAAGAGAACATAGAGAGAAGAGTGTGGTTCACATCATTAGTGAGTAAAGAAAGGTCAAGAAGGACGAGGAATGAGAAAAGGCCATTAGATTTGGCAATTCATGAAGAGCATCATTTCAATGATGAAGTCAGAATCCAGATGGTAGAGAGTTAAGAAGAAGAGAATGAGTGGAAAGGGGGTGGAGGCACTTGTTATAAACAGCCTTCTCTAGGTGTTTAGTCATAAAGGGTAAGGGAGAAATACAGGATGATAGCTAGTGAGAAGGATTGGATCAAGTGAGAGTTTTTTGAAGATGAAGGAGACATGGGCATGTTTGCAGGCATGAGGGAAGCAGCCAGTCAGTAAGGATCGGTTTAAGATTAGAGAGTGAGGATGTTAGAGGTAATAGTCTGCTAGAGAAGGTGGGTTGGAATGGAGTCATTTGTGCACATAGAGAAAGGGATTTATGTTGACAAGGAGAAAGGCTACTTTGTCATGTGAAATAGGCAGAGGAGATAGTGTCAGAAAGCATCTAAGATGGGGGAAACAACTATGGTCTGAGAATGCTTCGCCTGTCACCTTGGCAGCCCGCAGCTCCAGGAGGGGCAGTGGCCATAGGTGCATCCTGCTTCTGGCCTGGTCTGGCAGGCCTTTCTGGCAGTTTGGCCAGCTGATCCCTGCAGGAAGTGGGCGGTGGCCTTGGCCCCTGCCAACGTGATCCCTATCATATTGCTGTCCAGTCAACAAGGGAAATTTTTCTGTGCTGTAGAAAATTAGGACAATGAATTGTTGATGCTAGAGACTGTACATGTTATGTGGAATTACTAGACAAGCATTTTGGAAACATCTGTGAGCTGGATATTATATTTAATTTTGAAAAGGCATATTTTGTCCTTGATGAGTTTGTAATGGTGGGAGAAATCCAGGAAACCTCAAAGAAAACTGCTGTTAAGGCTATAGAAGACTCTGATATGTTACAGGGGACAGTGGAAGAATACATGAGCAAGCCTGCGTTTTAACTGAAAAATCTACTTGACAACCCAGTGGTGCCACATGTCATAAATCTGCAAAACTTCAGCTGGATGTGGTTCTTCTGCGATGTGCCAGAGCCTTATGCCAAAAATAACTTAAATTGATTGTGTTTGAAACTTCTTGGATGCTTTAGGATACTGTGTTCAACTAGCAAGACTTAAAACTGTAGCATATTTGTAACGGGTGCATATCTGTATTATTCTCTATATATGGATTCTTTTGGTTGTAGAATGTAAAACAACCACCATTCAGTAGACTGCATGTTTTGTTTGTACCAGCAAAGCAATAATTTTAAAGTATTTTTGAGAAGTGAGCTGTACTATATTTTTGCTAGTATTCTTAAGTTGGCAACTATTTTGTAAAAAATACTATGAATGTACTGCCTGTCTTGGACTAAAATAATACTTTTTTCTAACTACAGAGTTATTTTTTATTATGATTTCATAATGTGTCAAAGTAATATAAAAGGCCAGTTATTAGACAACTGTAGGCATATCATGTAATATGCATAAGTGTATATATGCATGTATATGTAAGTAGATGCATAAGACATCAACATGTCTTCAGCCTCTAATAGCAGGCTTCACTGTCTTACCTTGAATTTCTTATTCAGTCTTGACTTTGGGGAAGTAACAGCAGTGACAGAAACACAGCTACCTATCATTTAAAACAAAAACGGAATCCTTAGGAACATCTGTCTAGGATGAAATTGTTCTAATAAAATTTTGGCAGTCAGAATTGTAAAGTATATGAAGTATCCCAATTTGTATTTTCACAAAAATCACAGCATTTCATATTAGAAGGGAGTTAGTTGAGTGGCCATTTACTCTAATCTATACTCCAAACTTACTAATTTACAAGCTTTTTTTTATAACTTATTTTTTAACAAGTCAAATAATTTGAGTGACAGTGTCTATGACTTATTTCCCTTCAAGATGTAATAAGATGATTGACTTGGCTTCCCTAATGCACACAGTGTAACACCCTAGGACTCCAGTCAATTTTTGCTGTTGACTGTGGTGTCAGCACTTCTCTCTTTGGAAGCCTGGAGAATTCATGTCCATCAAAATGAGACATCTGTATACTCAAGGATATGAAAGCCTCCAGTTAGTAAATATTTTGTAATTTTCAGTCACAATTTTCTAACATCTTAGGACTTTTCTGAATTTTAATTTGCACCAAGTGTTTTCCTTAGTGTCTGGACAGTGTTAGTCTGGAGGTCTAAGTTCACTCATATTGCAGTGATTAGAGGGACAATCATGGTCAGTTTTCCTGAGAGATGAGTCTGCCTCCTATGGGGGTGTCTTTAGGAAATTTTGGATGGGGTGACTTCTAAAAAAATTTACTAACACTAAAAATTACTTTTTTGTCTGCCTTAGTAGACATGTGCACATCAGCACCACAGGGTCCTTGATCACTGGAAGTGATATTGCACTTCAGGGCTTCCATTCCTTTTGACTACAAGTGCTCCTCTCCACCCTGAACCTACAATCCTGAAGTGGGTATAGACAATGGAATTGCCAAACATCTGGCCCTGAACTCAGTGCTAGCACAGGGGTCCCCCATAATCTCTTTCTGACCAGTTGTCACATCCACTTCCTATGTCTGGCTTGGAAGCTCCTGAAGCTGCTGCTGCTTCTGTCACCACCACCCTATCCCGCCTCTGTTGTTTCATGTGGGCTCAAGATCACCCCGTTTTCACAGGTCTGTCTCTCTTTCTTACCTCCTGTGTTGTCTTAGGCTGGAAGAATGCTTTTGTTGGCTCTGCCACTCCAGAATTCAATGTGAGGTGTTATTTTAAAGCTGTTTGGAGAGGGATTTGGGGTTGTTTGTGCTTTGTTCTTGAAGAGGAGTGTGACATCAAGGAGGTGATGCCATGACATGCAAGTGAATTGGATTTAAGTGAGGGGTGGCTGTGCAAAGTCACTGGCCTCACTTTCTCCTCCAGAGCCATTTGGGTCTAGTGGTGAGACATAGATCAGGACAGTGGGACACCGTGGCTTTCCAGCTTGACTGAGGCAATGCTTATTCATTGATTAAGGCTACGTGAGAAATGAGGCAGAGAATGGCCTCTAGTCCAAAAAAAAAAATCCGGGGGAGAAAGATCCTTAGGGTTTCTGGTCAAAACAAATGATTGCTATTTATGTTCCTTTTTTTTTTTTAATGTGTCACTGATGAAGATTTTTTTGAGTGTTGTGCTTCTAACTCCATTTTCTCCTTAAGTTTTTATTGCATTTTTGCATAGCATGATGATTTTTAGGAATGCATAGGTTGTATTATAACAGAGCTGACTGTATTACTCTCCCAGTCTTACATCTCATCTGGCTCCAGTTCCTCTTCAATATAGCTAACAAAGTGATTTTTCCAAATTTCAGTTCTGCTCCTGTCGCACCCCTTCCCAACTGTCTGCTCCAGTGGCTCCATGTGATCCCTGAGATCAAATGCACACTTTTCTCTTTGACTCCTAAAGCTCTCCACAACCTGGCCCTTTCCCTCCTTCCAGTCTTCTGCATAGTCCTTGCTTCCATTAGTTCTCTGGTCTAGCCATATAAGACCACTTTCTGTACCTCTGATGTGATGTTGTGTTTCTTCTCTCTACTTTTGCATCAGCTATTCCACACGTCTGGAGCGCTCTCTTACTCCACCTTTCCCTCTTGGAGATGCAGCTCAAGCACCACCTGCTGCCCAAGGCCTTTCCTTACCTCTTCCCCCACCATCCTCCCTCAAAGCTTGCTTTGTAAATATTTCTGCCTGTGTATATGTACATTGTTTCCCTCTAGTAGAATGTAAGACCCTTAAGGGGAGAAACTGTTTTGGTTTTGCCTTTGTATCCCCAAAACTTAGCCCAGCCAGTGCCTGGCATATAATTAATTGCTTGGTCTCTTAAAGCTTAAACTCCTCATCTTTCCCTCCAAAATTTCTGAACTTTAACTTTCGTGTTTTTGGTACCTCAGTGCTTCTAATGACCTTGGCTTGCAACTTGAGTCATTTTTGACCCTCTTCTCTCCTTCCCCCTCCTTCATATACATTTAGTAGTTAAGCCCTTCAACGTTTCTTTCTTTAATATGCTTCATCAGTCCCCACCGGCCCTCATTATACGTACTACATTATTTGTTTGGACTATTGTGTAAGCGCTTCCTGACTGGTCCCTTTGACGTCTGTCTCCTTTCCATTCCATCCTTCACATGCAGCCAAAATAATCCTTCTAATCCCCTGATCAAGTCACTTCACAAACCTTCCAAGGCAGCACATTGTGGGTAATGTCTGCCAAATTTTATTCAGATTATCAAGAAGCCTAAAGTGACCTTCAGAAATTATCTTTATTCTATTTCTCTGCCTTTATGCCAAGTCCAAGATAAGCCATTCCAGATCAATGAGAATCTCTCCTAACTTTAAAGACTTCTAGAGAGGAAAAATTAACAGTCCTTAACAATGATTATTGTAATTATTTTGCTCTATTGCAGGTAAGGATAATGCAGTTGATAAAGAACTTAGGAAAAGTCATTGCATAATGAAGACCAAATTAGGTCAAGCAAATGATGTTACCAGCCCACCTCTCAGTGCTTGTCTCAGTGAAAGGTATGATGAAGTTATGAATATGAAATGAAATGCTTTCTTGCATTTGATTTGCTTTGTTTTTTACATGATTGTCTCATTTAGCCAGCATACAGAGTGCTAAAGTTAGGTTATTGAAGAATACTGCTCTGTGAACCCAAGATCACAGTTATTGGAGCAAGAACTCACTATTTGATAAAAAATATTTGGGAAAATTAGAAAGCAATCTGGCAGAAACTATATATAGACCAACAATTGACCCCAAATTTAGAGCAAGTGAAGCTCTGATTTAGGTGTATAGGGTGATGCTTAAACAAATTAGAGGAACCAGGAAGAAATTACCTTCAGGTCTTTGGGTGGGGAAGATGCCATGACCAAACATGGGATAGAAAGGTTCACAAGAAATAAAATGAACAGTTTTGATGACATGAAATTAAAGAGGTTTTAAACAAACAAAACCAATGCAGTTAAAATTAGAAAAGAAACAAAGGAGGTTAAAAAAAATCTTGGCAGTAAATTTCCTTGATAAAGGTCTCATTTCTAAGACATATAGGGAAATGATTCAAATTTGTAAGAATGAGCCATTTGCCAACTGATAAACTTTTAAAAGATATGAACAGTTGATTCAGTTCAAGCTATCAATAGCCAAATAAAAATCATTAATAATTAGAGAATTACAGATTTAAAAAATTCTGAGATACCACCTCACACCTACCAGACTGGCTAAATTGACAAATGCCGGAGAGTCTGTGGGAAATCTGGTACATTAATTCACCGTTGGTGGAGCTTTGAACTGGTCCACCTGTTCTGGAAAGAAGTTTGGAAATGTTCCTGCAAAGCTCTTTTAAACTGTGCATGCCCATTGACCCAGTAATAATGCTGTTAATCTTGTATTGTCTTGTAACTGCTGCTTGTTGAATTTTTAGCGTGAGCATTTACACCTTGGAAATGAGCAAATGCCTCACATTAGTGCTTGGTTTATTGTTTTATTGATTGTTTAGACTTAAGAAAGTGATAGAGAAAATGTTAATAATGCAGATTAAACTTTAAAATGTGCTGAATGTTTTTGGAGATGCAGTTGTTAAAACATTTATCAGCACCCCCTCCTATACCCCAAAGAGATCAAAGAAAGAGAAAAAGGACCCCATTTACAAAAATATTTATAGCACCTCTTTTTGTGGTGCCTTAGTGAATTGGGTAATGGCTAAACAAGTTATGGACTGTACATGTAATGTAATATGCTTTAGCTACAAAAAAAATGATGAAGGGGACAGTTTTAGAGAAACTTGGAAAATTTTGTATAAAACTGCAGCAGAGTGAAATGAAAGAAAGCAGAAGTATAAGCTGTATTACTGTCATGATAAAAATTTGTGATAAAGAGAAACTGAGGCACAGAGTTCTGAGCATAATCAGTTTATTAGCAAGGCTAGCAATTGCCTATAAATGGGACCCAAGGCTCCTCAGTAGCCAGGGATAGAACTGGCGGGGAGAGCGTCACTTTTATAGTATTTACATAGTTACTGTTTTTAATCTCACTTCTGATTGGTTGATGCCCTCTTACATCATGATATCCCTCACTCAGTAGTTTAACATTTTTTGAAAGGTCTCATGGTTGGCAGTTTCAGGGCAGGGGGATGGGGAGTAGAGGGACAGGACAGGAGGCTTGTGTTTTACATGCTAGCACTTAGGAATGGGTTTAGAACATTTGTGGTGAGAAAGCACGGAGAAGAAAGGTACCAGGAAGTGAGGTGCCTGGAATTGTTTTCCTCTGTTGCCAGTGTTGTCAGGCAGCTTATAGGGTGTGGATGGCAAGCTGTCAAGGTGGAGGAAGGCAACTGAAGTCAGAGGCATAAAGAGCTCAGACTCGTTTAATGAGGGGACCCAACCAATACATAGTCAATTGATCAAACCCGATGAAATAGAGTGGAAATCTTATTAAGACTCAATTCATCCTGCACTAATGATCAGTCAGTACTAATGATCAATTCCACATTATCACAGCAATATTAAGACAAATGACTTTGAAAGACTTAGGGACTCTGAACACAGTGACCAACCACAATTTCAGAAGGCTCATCATGAAAGATGCTGCCACCTCCATTTGGAGAGGTAATGGGCTCAGAGTTCAGATAGAAACTTTGTTTCTGGACATGGCTGGTTCTACAATTTATTGGGCGCAATTTTTTATTTCTATGATTCAGTACTATAGATTTAACAGCTATTATACCTAGGCTTCTTAAATCTTTAAAATTTTAAGTTGTTAGCTACTCTTTTGTAATTTTGTCGCATTTTAATATTATACGATGTAATTTTATTTGTTGAATAATCTGAGTGGCTTTTATTTTCAGTCCAATGGTTTTACGAGGCCCATACAGAACTCCACAGAGGGAAAAGCCTGGTATGAATAGTCTTATTTTTTTGTATGTGTTCTTTTTAAACTACATTTTGATTTTTATATTTGTTAAAATATCTCGTGGCTTAACTACGTTTCTCTCCATTTTTTTAGTGGCATATGGAAACTTGTTTTATACCCCTAAACTAATGAAGGTAAGTATTATTTTAATTGTTAATAATATGAGCTTTTGACAATTTTTTTACTGTATCTTTCCTCTGAGATTCTCCATGCAAATATTTTTAATCTTCATTGCATTTCTTTAAATTAACTACCATTTGTTAATAAGGCAGATATGTTCTCATCTTAAAAATTGTGAAACCAGAAGCATACCAAGATTGAGTGGCACATAGAACCATTCAAGGATGAAGCTCACTTTTTTCACGAGAATATATGTATATTTTCACATGTATATATGTGTGTATATGTGCATATATATTTAAACATATATGTGTGTATATATTTGTATGTAAATATATATGTATATATAATTTTTTTTTCTATTTTCAGGTTAATACACCAAAACACATTTCTGAAAGTCTAGGAGCAGAGGTGGATCCAGACATGTCTTGGTCAAGCTCTTTGGCCACTCCCCCCACCCTCAGTTCAACTGTGCTAATAGGTAATATTATCAAAAATGTGTTGTATGGTGAAAAACAGAATTAGTACAAAGTAATGCTCCCCTCCAAAAAAATAATTAGAAATAGTAATGCTCCATCTAAGTGGTGGAGCTAGTGATTATAATCTAGTTCTTTGCCTCCTTCAGCGGTCTGTTTCTCTGCAGCTTCTTCTGCAGGTTTTCTCGGCAAATGAGGAAGGCTGTATGTGATGTTAACTGAATGAAGAGCATTATTTTGACTCTCAAATAGGCTTTAAATTTAGACATTTATTTCTTAACCCACAAGCCTCAAAGGCTGTGATCTATGTGAATTATTTAGATGTTCAGAATAGTGAAGTCAGAAAAGGGTTTAGGAGGAAAGAGGGTAAACTTAGTTTGAAGTATTGGGGAGACATCTGGGTATAGATAGATGGTCAGTATATGAGAATGGTCAGCATATGATGGTTAGGTATATGAGAGTTCAGGTGTGGAGCTCAAAAAAATGGTCAGACCTAGAAGGCTAAATTTGGGAGTCATCTTCATACAGAGAATAGTTGAAGCTGTGGGGAGCAGTGAGATGGCGAGGGTAGAGAGTGCAGAGGGAGAGGTGGGCAAACAAAGGACAGGAATTTGGGGAAGAGTGTGAAACGCCCTTGGAGGAATCCGAAGCAGAGGCTTGAGGTGGAATAATCAAGAATGTAGTGTGTCTAAAACCAGAGGAGGGAAGATACCTAATGGGAGGGGTTGCTCATTGGGATCAAAAGCTTTGGGAAAGAAAGTGAAGGAGGCTGAGTTATCTACCAAAAGACCATTGACTTTGCTGTTAGGAGGAAAGTGAATTGCAGAAGTCAAATAGAGTAGAGGAGACTGAAGTGAAGTTTGAAGAGGTTGAGAAGAGGTTGATTTTGATTTTATTGGAGGCATAGGGTATAGAAAGCATCTTGAAGTAGTTTGGCAGTGAAAGAGAAGAAGGAAATGGAACTATGGCTGTTTGGGATATTAGGATCAAGGGAAGCTCTGTTCTAGGATTGGGGAGACCTGAGCATGATTTAAAAGTAGATGGGAAGGAGCAGTAGCAAGAAAGAGACTGAAGAAAAGATCAAGTGATAGATTGTTCATAAAGCACTTGATAAACTATAAAGCATCATATAAATATCAAATGTTTGAAGAGGAGGAGAAGGATTAATTAGAGAATTGGGTATGGTTTGAAGACCATTTGCCTTAGTATAGGGAAACCATTTGTGATAGGTAAGAAGAGAGAATAGGTGATGATAGCTAACATTTATATAGCATCTACTATGTGCCAGGCACTGGGTTAAGTACTTTATCATTGTTATCTAATTTGCTCCTCATAACGATCCTAGGAGGTAGGTGAATGAGGCAAAAGGGTTAAGGGGTTAAGTGACTTGCCCAAGGTCACACAGCTACTAAATGTCTGAAGCTAGATTTGAACCAAGGTCTTCCTGACTCCAGGCCCAGCCCTCTGTTCCCTGCACCACATTCCAGTGGATGATGTTGCTAAGAAATTGGAGTCTCCTTCTTAGGGAATAGAAGGCTCATTTACCATTGTAAATGTGTGAGATCAAGGTGTAGTTGAGCACTTGAGGGGGACCTGAAAAGGTTTGGCATGTGGAGAGTGGGAGATGAGTTGAATGGCCACCTCTAGAGCCCCTGGCTGACATGAGGCACCTTTTATTTGTGGTGATAGGGCACATCTGTGACCAAGGAGCATAGCAGCCAAGAAATGCAAATGGATTTCTTTCAGCATTACTTCTGTCTCATTGCCTACCAGACAAATGGTTGTTTATGAAGCCGTGAGGACAGTTGTCCTTTTCTGACTATTAACAGTCTTATGTAAAATTTAATGTTTTTCTTTCAGTCAGAGATGGTCAGACTTCTGGAACTAGGATTCCTAATGATACTACAATTGTAAGTACATTTTATGAATCTGTGGTGTGCTGTTTTCCTTTTTACTTTCAAATCCTTATATAATACTTTCAAATCTTCAGTAATTAAATTATGATGGCATAAGCAATAGCCCAGCATTGAAAAAATTTAAATTCTCAATCCAGTAGAATTATGTAAACAAAAGAAATCCAAATAAACCAATTTTTAATTAATATGTATGTTTCAAAATACAGCCCCTAGCCAAATGGTTTCCTGACCAGTTTCATAAATAGTAGCTTTAAAAAAATTAATGTCTTTTATTCATTAACGTAATTTTTTCCCAGTGAACAAAAATCTTGCTTTCTCTTCCTTCTCCCCCCTCCTTCTTATAAGAAAATTAAAACTAAACTCTTATAACAGATAGTCAATCAAGCAAAATTTCATTGGCTATGTCCTAAAGATAAATGTCCCATTCTGCATCCTGTGTCCATCACCTCTGTCAGCTTAGATTTCTTTAATTAATATGCGTGTTGCAGAGTACAGCCCTGTACTTCTGGCTTCCTGACCAGTTTCATAAATGGTAACTTTAAAAAATACTAGTGAGTTATTTATTAAAATAATTTTAATTAACAAAAATATTACTTTCTATCCTTTCTCCCCCCCAATAAAAAAGAAAAGAAAAAGAAAACTCTTATACCTAATATGCAGTCAATCAAAACTGCATATCTTTTGACCATTTATTAGTTGACATTATCGTTTCAACTAATTTTTTAGATAAATTTCTAGGGTTTTCTAATTAAACTGTTATATGATCTGCAAAAAGTGGGTATTTTGTTTCCTTTTTGCCTATGCTGATTTTCTCATTTTGCCTTGCTAACTTTTCAATGCTACTCTCCAGATGAAGAGTTTTCATTTTAAAAGACTTGTATGCCTGATCTGTAGTCTCTTATTTCTCTCATGCTATGCTGTCTCCCTACTTTGTCCGTTCTATAAGAACGTGATTGACTATTTAAAGTGCATAGAAATTTTGCTACAATGGAAAGCAATGTTAGAATATAAGCAATATGTCGATTAGATACAGTGACTGTATACTGCTGTTTCAGGCTTTTTACAGTAACTTCTACATGTTTCTTGCCTATTAACTTCTAATTCCCTTCTTAGTGTGTTCCCTATTTTTGCTCTATAGTTCGGGGTTAGATTTCCTTTCAGTTGCCATGTTCATTAAATCACCCAGGGCTTCAACCGTGGTCTCTACTCAGGATTGCTTTCTTCATTACCAGGGTGTGGCAAGTCCCCCTATTAAAGAGAGAAGAAATATTGGGGCTCAGACTAGATCCATAACCAAGAAGAAACTTCAAGGCAGTTAGACACAAATTGCCTAGGCCATTTCTGTCTGAAGAGTGAGGGCTCCATGAAACTGCACTGGGTGCACTTATCGAGGGACACCTGGGCAGTAGTGCAGCTTTCTGGATTTTTGTTGGCTTAGTTTTTTAGTAGGAACTATCTTGTGGGGAAGCATTTCCTTTTCTTTCTTGTAATTTTTGTCACTATTTGGCTTTTTTTTTTGTTTAAATTGGTGAACTTGGGAGTTAGATTGACATCCAATTTTTTCCTCTGCCATCATGTCAAAAGTCTCAAATAACTAAGGAATTGAAAATGATATGTAAATGCAGAAGAATAGTTTGAACCAAATGCTTTTTGAGGTCAGGGGAAGAAAGGCTTATTATTAATTGGCACTAATTTTTTTTAAATGTTTGAGCAGAGAACTTTAAAAATTAATAGTGCCTAAGCAGTGTTGTGGTGAATGCAGAAAAGATTCTTGTATAGGAGACTGAGCTTGAGGACTATTATTTTGTTGTTGTTGATCGTCCTTTCTAAAGCAGAAATTGGAATAATGGTCTTTTTGTAAAGCCTTATTAAAATAGTGAGTGCACTTTTAAAACATTGGAATCAACACTGTCTTACAGGACATGTAGTCACCATAGGGATGGAAATCAATAGGCATAAATTTGTTCTCAGGTACTACTAGTGTCAAAGACGTGTTCGCCTGTCACCAGGCTTACTATGGGGAGAGAGCAATGATATCCCCAGCTATTCTGCTAGGAAATTTTTAATAATAGTAATAATAATAACATTTATAGAGTGCTTTAAAATTTTCTAAGTGCTTACAGTATTATCTTATTTTATCTTTATAACAACCCTAAGTAGTAGGTGCTATTTTTATTCCCATTTTATAGATGGGGAAACTGAGTCAAACAGAGTTTAAGTGACTTGCCCAGGATTACATAGCTAATAAGTGTCTTAGGCAGGATTTGAAGTCTGGTCTTCTGATTTCAAGTCTAGCACACTCTTATCCTTTATGCCACTTAGCTGCATAATGAGTGTCTTTTGGGATAAGATTCCCTAAGTTCTATTTTAGAGTGGGTATACAAACAATTTATGGGTTCTTTGAGGGCTAAGGTTGTTTAATTATTTGTATTTGTATCTCCAGCACCAAACACAGTGCCTGGAACATAGTAGATGCTTAATCAATGCTCATTATGCAAGCAATCTTCTACTCCCAATTTTCCTAGAGAAGACATGGATTAGGACTTGAGACCTTACTTGAAATCAGCTAGGCAATTAATAATTTATGGATTTCTCCCAAACAACTTTTTATATCCAGTAAGTTGTATACATCAGGGTCTTTGACACTAAGGCCTGAGTAATGCAAAAATGTACAGAATTTAGTCTTATATTCAAAGTTAATCTACTGTGTGCTTAATGATACAGTCATTACTGTGCTGCATGGAGGTAATGCATAAATAATAAACAGTTAACGGAAGTTGTAATTAGTACTGTATTGGGGGAACAAAATGGGGGCAGGGTTCTAGAAGAGAGAGATTTCTACTTCCTTAGACAGCTAAGTGGCTTCGTAGAAAGATCGCTGGGCCTGGAGTCAGGAAAATCTGAGTTCAGATCCTACCTCAGATACCTACCAGCTGGGGCAAGTCACTTAACCTTAGTCTGCCTCAAATTCCTGTTCTGTAAAATGGGGTTAATAATAGTACCTACTCCCAGGGCTTTTTATGAACATAATATGAGATATTTGTAAAGTGCTTTTCAAACTGTAAAGTGTTATGTAAATGATTCCTGTTATTACTATTAATATTTCTTAATTCCTTTCATCGGTCTTATGTGATGATTTCAAAGTCTTTCACCATCCTGTTTGCTGTCTCTTGTATGTTCTTCAGCTCACTGAGGTCAGAATGTACCCAGAACAGGACATAAGCATAAGTGGGGAAAATTACAGCAGGATTATCACATATGCTCTCTTACTTTGGACACTCAGATTAGCTGACTCATTGCAATCCATAGTCAAGATTTGGAACAGAAAGTTCCTTATTAATGAAATTTAATTTGAATCATTTCTGAGTGACTATTATCCTGATCTTGTGATTTCATTGGTACTGGTAACTCCTCATGAAAAAATTCCCTACAGCAATGAATGCCATGTATTCTGCAATGTAGTATTAGAAAGGTATGGAGAGGGTGAGCAGCTTGTCCAGGACCCCAGGGTCTCTGACCTCTGTGTCAGAGACAGGACTCGAACCCCAGGTGTTCTTGATTCCAGGGTTCTCTGTCCACTATGGCATACTGCTTCTCAAATGATTATTACATGGGAGAAATTACCAGATAACACATTCAAGTATAAATTCCATAGAACTCACCCGTGTATTCATTCTTATAATAACTTTTGGTTCAGTAGCACCTTTTTTGCTTGGTATTTATTGACAAAGTATATAAATGTAATCTTAATGAGTAAAGTAATCTTTACTCATTAAGTAAAATATTTGGTAGAGAGCAGACATGGTTAAGTTTTGTTTTTAGAATGATTAAAAAAGCTAAGGCTTGTTTTTGTAGCCTCAAACAATATTCATAGTCTTTGTAGGAGGGACTGCTGAAGTTAGGGTTATGCTTCTGTTGTGACCTTATTCTCCCTGGCTCCATTGTTGCCCACTACTATGGAATTTATCCTTGATACTTGACAGTTTTTCCTTTATGCTTAATCTAAACTGAAATTCTGCTTTCCTAGATTCCAGTCTCAGGACCATCATAATTTTGCTTCCCATCTGAATCTGTCTTATAGCATAGCTTTACTGTCTTCCTATTCCATTTTTCCCACTCTCTACTATCTGTAGTATTTTTCTTCACCTGCAGGCCCATATACCCTAATAAGTAATTTATTTAAAATTTCTATAATAGTAACTTATGAGACTACCTATAGAGGTAGGTTATGTCACTGACTTCTTAAAATTTAGGTGTTTAATACATACAAGAATGCAAAACTTAGAATTTCTATGTTAGTATTTTAATTTTTGTAGATGTTGCAAAAGTCTTTATCTCAGCAAGGTGAAAGTCCTCAGAGACTTGATAGGACCACCTCTTCTGTACCAAACGTTGAAAATACACATGCAACAGATGACATCACGAGCCAGGGTAAGAATCTGTGTTTTACTGACTTGCTTTGTCTTGTTACTGTTTGTCTACAGTTAGATGCTTTCTTTGCCACTCAGGTGAAAGGGAGAAAAACCTGTAAGGCCATTCCTTTCATAAATTCCACTGTTATACAAATCCCCGTTTTTATAGCATCCTTATAATGTAATCAGTGAAAGTATTTTTACTCCCATTTTACACTTGGGTAATAAACCAAAGCTCCTGAAAGTGAAGAGACTTGTCCAGGTCACACAGCCAGAAAGTGTCCCCTGGGACTGAAACTCAGCTTTTCCATCTCAAAGTCCAATGTTCATTTCCCAATACTAGGCTACAGTTTTGTTTTTTTCTAAAGTGAGTATCTAGATTTATCTTAAAATTCTCAGTTTAATAATTTTATTTGGGGAGTGAATAAAGAATGCACAGTGAAGGGAAAAGGGGAATTTGATTTGACTGTCATTGCTAAAAGAATATTCTGTGGCTCACATTTATACAGGATATTCCAAAAGTCTTAGTGTAGTTTAAAACTTACAAAAACTTGACTGTAACTTTTGGGACACCCTGCATTTTTACTGAGTTTTAAGGTTTGTGAAGAGCTTTGCACAGTTACTTCATTTGATCCTCGTGACAGCTCTGTCAGGTAGGTGCCTGGACATGCCTCATTTTACAAATGAGACAACTGTTACTCAGAGAGAGTAAGTTACTTGCTTATGAACATAAATAAGTCTCCATGTTGATATTTGAACCCATCTGTCCTGACTCCAAAGGCCAGTTCTCTCTCCATTACACCTGCTGCCTTTCTCAAAAGAATGGAAAACACTGAGGACACTATAAGAACATCTTGAGTAGTTTGGATATTAAAAACATGAATATTTCTTAGGTACTTAGTGAGGTCAAATCTTTTTTTTTTTAATTTTATTTATTTATTTATTTATTTGTTAGTTTTTTACTTAAAGTATCATTTTTTTTTCATATGCTTTTGAGTTGAAAAATTTTTCTCCCTTTTCCTCCCCCCACCCTCCCCAAGACGGCGCACAATCTGATATAACCTTTACATTTACATACCCATTAAACATATTTTCACATTAGTGAAGTTGTAAGTAAAAATTAAAACCAATAGGAGGAACCATCAGAAAGATGAAACAAAACTCAACAGAAGGTAAAAATAAGTGATAGCAATTCAATTTCCATAGTTCTTCCTTTGGATGTGGACAGCATTTTCCATCCCAAGGCCTCTGGAGATGTCTTAGATCCTCATAATGCTGAGAAGTGTTCAGTTTAACAATATTAGTCATCGCATAACGTGGCTGTTATTGTGTACAAAGTCCTCTTGGTTCTGCTCACTTCATTCAGCATCAGACCATATAAGTCTTTCCAGGTTTTTCTGAAGTCAGCCTGTTCATCATTTCTTATAGCACAATAGTATTCCATTACATTCATATACCACAACTTGCTCAGCCATTCCCCAGTCGATCTGCATCCTCTCAATTTCCAATTCTTTGCCACCACAAAAAGAGCTGCTGTGAATATTTTTGCACATGTGGGTGTGAGGTCAAATCTTTAACTACTTCATAAGTATTTGTTGAATTTGATGAGATAGATATTATAAATAATACCAAGATGACCTTCTCAGGGACTACTTTGTTTTTATCTTTGTATGCTGACTGTTTAGCACATGGGTTGTTGAATTGAATTTTTCAGCCCTGTTGCTGAAAATATGAGAAACATGAAAATACGAAACAGTAGTAACTGAACCTTAAAATCTAAGGCAGACTTAAATAAAAATGAGAATTGTTAGGTTTATTTGAAAATGTTTATTAGCATTTTATTACTTTCATGTAATTTGAATGGAGATATCCCTCTCCCCTTTCTGTTCAACTGATTATATGTATATACATATTTTGGAATAACAAAATAACTTCATATAATTTTGTGTGATTTGATATGAATTGAATGGTGTTTTTAAGTGATTTTTATAATGGTATGTTTTTAATTTAACAGAACTGGAAAAAATGATAGATGATTCATTTGGTGATGGAAATAACTTTGAAGACCGTAGTGGAAAGATGATGAGAAATGTGCCGAATGTTATGGAAGATGAAGTGTGTGATCCAGTCATTGATACACCTCTAGAAGATGGTACTTCATTCAGTTTCCCTGGTTATAAAATAGGAAGTCTACGAAAAGTAAAACTTGATAAGACTAAGAAAAAATATTTTAAAATAAAAACTAATGAATGTGAAGAGACTGAAAAATTAAATAAGAACGATAAGTATTCAAGTACATCTGAAGCTGAACTAGAATACTGTTGTCCATGCATTTCAAAAGAAATTCAGAAGACCATTGAGAATGTTAATGAAGAATTGTTGAAGGATGCAACTCAGTGGTCTCAACTAAACCTTTCTGGTCTGGATGTAACACAGCTAGAGAGAACACCACTGCCACATATTTCTTTTTTTGATCAAAATTCAGGAGAAAGATCAGCAAATTCAGACAATGAATGTTCCAGCTTAACTACTTTTAAAAATGTAGAAATGTCAGTGTATAAAGAGGATGAAGAGAAAATTAGCACACCTCTGAAAGAAACCGTTCTGTTATTAAAACAGACATCCCCTGAAAGTTCTTCACTAAATTCTTTATGTCAAGATAGAAAAAGTTCCATGTTCAAAATGGGACAAATATCTGAAGAAACCATCAGCATGGATGGTTTTTCCTTTTGCACAATCAACACAAGCATTACAACAGAATCTAAAGTTCTTGGAAATAAACTGGAAAATCCCAAGTCTTCTGTAAATGATATTGTTTGTCCTGGAGATTATGGTTCCTTCTCTCCAAATACAGATGGTAAAGAAAACTGTCCAACAATTACCAAATGTAACTCATCACCTTTGAACAGTGCAGGTATAATTTCTCATTTAAAAAAGAAGACAAAAAAGTTTATTTATGTTGTGAATGATGATTCATCTTGTGAAGGAGAAAAAATACAAAAAGCTCAAGAAATAGGATCAAAGAACTATTCTGCATCATCATATTTAGAATCGAATTCTTCTGAAGTTCATCCTGAATTCACAGATGCTCTTTCAGGTACTTATATTTCTACAAGTGAGTATGGATTATGAATTTCTTCCTACCACGATATAGCATTAGGTATCTAAACACCTGTGAATAAAAAAAATTACACAGAAATAACATTGATATTAATTTAACATCTGTATTATGCTTCATCTAAATTCAGACCATTTATAATTATTTAATTGGTTTGATTTTTTGGACTAGTAACCAATTAGACCTCCATGTTTAGATATATGTATATTCTGAGTCAGAGTAAGAATTTCATAAACGTCAAGACCTTAAATAAAAACTGTATCCTCACTATTACATTTAAGGTAAAAGCTGTATATTAAATGTTTTAAAGCTTGTTGCATAGATTTTTCTGAAATATAATTATGCAACTCTGCAATTACTTTTCTGAATTTAGTGGGAGACACTTAATAAAATTATTTAGCAGTATGCTAATCACGTTTCATACAAGCTCAGCCTTAAATGGACAAAGTACGTTTTTATTTTTGCTGCCTTTTATTTCAAAGATGACACTATCAGTGTAGATATAGGTGAAATGATCAATTGTGTATATTTTATTATACACAAATTGTTTTCTGACTGTATAAACTATTTGAAGAACAGTGGGAAAAGATGTAAATATATGCATGATTGGCAATTTCAGAAGCTTTGGAGAGGTCAAGGAATAAAGACCATTGGATTTGCAATTGGGTAGTCATTGGTATTAACTTTTAAAGAGCAATTTCATTGGAATGATAAGTAAGGGAGCTTGATTGCAAGATATTGAGAAGAGAGGGAGTAATGAAGTAGAGGCATCCTGAATAGAATTTTTTTTTGGTTCTCTTCTTCCCTCTCTACTCTTCCTAATTTAAAAATGTGAATGAGAGAGGACTTGTTGGGATAGTATTTTAATGAAGTAAAAAGCTCAAGGGAAGACTGCTAGGTTGTAAGCAGATAGAAAGAATCATTGAATGGGAGATATATAAGAGATAAAGAATAACAGCTAAAGCTAAGTCTTGGAAGAGGCAAGAGAATAGAATTAAGGACACAAGTAGAGGTACTAGCCTTAGTGAGAATTAGGGATACTTCATCTTCTGTGATCAGAAGGAAGAATACAGTAGATAATGATGCTGAGAAGCTTCAGTGTTTTCACTGAAGTAATCAGAGAATAGAAGAAAGGAGAAAAGGTATGGTATACTTGAAAACAAGATAAAAGGAGAACAGAATTGTAGTCCAGTAGCAGTGAGGCACAGCTAGGTTTATGTAACATAAGTTTATAGTGCATAAAGTCAAAACTGTTTTGTTAATTTCTCCAGTGATACTCATTAGCCCTGAAACTGCCAAAGAGAAATTAGGATTTAAGGAATATTGTGATCATCTGCTATATCTGCCATTAGTTTAAGAATTTAGCTATCATCTTAGACAAATGTACTAATTTTTTGCTTATTGAACATTTACTAAACTTTGAAGCAGTTTCTTTGATCAGCTATTCAAATTCAGAATAAGATGGCCTTAACAAAAAAGCACCAAACTGTTCTGATGTGATGATCTTTATAACAGTTTACATTTAAAGTTACACAAGTCTGTATTTGTTAAGTTGCAAAATTTAGAAAAATGTTAGGACTGAAAAAGACCTTAGAAATCATCTAGTTCAAAACTGTAAGGGGGGGAAATTTCTTTAAATTTCTTACCTTTGACTTGATATTATGTTAATTCATAAATTAATGGTTAGGTAAAGCGAATGAATATCTTTTAAGTTTGTATGAGGAATGTCTTGGAACATAAACTACTATAGATTAAATTAACTATATTTTATAAAAGAGAGGCATTGGAGCTGTGATTCATTTGTACGAGATTTCTCAGATGAGGAAACTATAACGATACAAGTTATCATTGGATAGAGTGCTGGGCCCTAAGTCAGGAGGACTTATGTAAAAAGATGGCCTCAGACGCTTAATAGCTGTGTGACCCTGGGTACGTAACTTAACCTCTGCCTACCTCAGTTATCTCATCTGTAAATATCGCCCAACTCTCAGGGGTTGTTGTGAGATTCAAAGGAGAAAATATTTGTAAAGCACTTTGTAAACTTTAAGGGTCTATTTAAATGTTAGCATAGTAATCAAGTCATAGAGAGTTATCTAGAATGCTGAGAGATTAAGTGTTTTTCCCAGGACTTTCCCTCCCGCAATGAGTATGTGTCAAAGTCAAGAATCTAACCCAGGTCTTCCTGGTTCTAACACTAGCTTGCTGTCCATTATTTCATGTTGACACTCAAATACAGGATGTCCCAAAAGTCTTAGTGCAGTTTATGCTGCCTTTGTAAAATATACTACTTTATTTCCATTTTTTTGGAGAGTGGTTTAACTTTTAGGGTTTGAACTATCAATATTGAATTAGCGAAACTGACCTTTTGCTCATCATGTAATTTCTTAGAAGCTGACTTTTTTAACTTAGTGAAAATTATCTACCCTGTTTTTTATACCAGTGTTTCTAAATTGGACTTCTCTCTTTTGTTGTTGTTGTTCTTAGATGTTTTGGATTCCTCTGTCAAAAGAAAATGTTTACAATTTAATCCTGAAAAACAGACTGTCTCCCTAACTGGTCCTGACAAAACAACACTGGAAGAATGTTATAATGAAAGCAGTTTTCCTCAGAATGAAGTAACATCTCAGGATGTAAATTTTAAAGAAGTAAAAATAAATAGAGGGGATCTAGAGTCAACTATAACAGAAGCTGGTAATCAGTCACAGTCTCAAAAAAGAGGCTACAACAATGCTTCAAAAAGTCCAGGAGTTTCAAATATAAAAGAACAAGTCTTGGCTGCAGCATGCCTCCTTCCAAGAAAACATACAGAAATAGAATTGGGGAATATTGGAGAAAATATTCACTTTCCAACAAAAGATAGAACTCTAAATGACACAATTAATTCTGTTATTACTTTATCTCAACTTCCTCAGGATCCACCAGAGTTTTCTGTTGTGATTTATGCAGAAAAGGAACCTTTATGCAAAATGAAACAAAAACTAAAATTTAGAAGAAACTCTGATTCAACTTTTGTCACAAGTAAAGTTAGTTCTGAACTAACAGAGAGCATTACTAATAGCCACTTTAAGAAGACTCAAGAAACTGAAGTATCAGATGAAATTTCAGGAGAAGTTCAACAAATGTCATCTGAAAAATGCAAAGAAATATCGTCAGTTTCTTTGGGAGCACAGCTCAGCAAAAATGCTGACCTCTTTGTAAGCCTAAGAAACCAGGAAAAAACTATTTCCATTACAGAAAAAACAGTTCTTGAACCATATGCTGAGGAACATTTGCCTTTGAATAAAGATAACTTCCTTTTTCAAACAATAGATAAAAAGAATGTACAGATTATGGACAGTTCTGAGGAACTCCTTGAGACTAATTTCTCTTATTTAGGAGTGTCTATTCCTGAGAACTCTATAGAAATAGATTGCAAACAGACAGTTCAAGAGGTGTGCACAGATTATTTTTCATCAGAAGTGGTTCCTGAATTTATAGAGGACAGCCAGAATAAAAGCCAGACTCCAAAATTGGAAAGTACTATTGATACTAATGTGAAATCAAAGAAAAATGAAGATAATTTTTTGGAAAAGTGGGCAGGAAATTTCAATCCTGACTCAAATAAGAATTTTGGTAGTGGATTCAAAACAGCTTCCAATAAGGAGATAATACTCTCTGAACACAACATTAAGAAAGGGAAACTTTTCTTCAGAGATATTGAACAGCACTATGACAGTTGCTCTTCTGTAGAAATTGTGAACACTTCAACTTTAGTAGCAGCAGAAAATATCAAGACTGATTTAGATACTGAAAACCAAATCAAGAATTCTTTCCCCGTTTGGAATTCAGAAGCAAGCCATACTATGTCTAAGGATGTCCAGAGTAACATATTTGTTATTAACAAGAAAGATACTGATGTAACTCTGGAAGACTTACCATTAGAAAAAGATCTTGATCTTACCTATAGTTTAACAGCCAGCCAAAAAGCAGAAATTACAGAGCTTTCGACAATTTTGGAAGAAACAGGAAGCCAGTTTGAATTTACACAGTTCAGAAAACAAAGTCCTTCAGTACAAAAGCTTGAAATATCCACCAACAAAGCAGCAGATGAGTTAGGCAACTTAAATACTTATGAGGTCCAGAACACTGTTGAACTTGATGGTTATTTTGGAGCTAAAAATGAGATAGATAATAACAGAGCTCCTAAACAAGTAGATTTAATTGTGAACTCTGAAGTGGTAATTAATGTAAAGCAAGAATTTGTTGGTTTGCCAAAAAGTAACTCTGGACAATTCACCTCTACTGATATTTTTACTAAAAATGAAGTAGAGTTTGAAGGCTTTTGTTCTGCTCTTGGAAGAAAGATGAATATTTCTAATGAAGCTTTACAAAAAGCTATGAAATTGTTCAGTGATATTGAGGAGATTGGTGAGGAAACACCTCTGCAGAATTTTAGGAATGGTTCTTTAGGTAGAAGTCATAAGTCTAATATTATTCCTACATTCAAAATTGCAAATTATAATACCAATGAAGATTTTCAAGGGAAAGATGGTAAATGTGTACACAAACAACAAAACAGCGTTGAGAATAATACTGGCATTTTTGTTGAAGAAAACATATTAAATTGCAGCAGAGACCCAGAAAATAAAAAGAGTAGTTGTCCATTATCTATTAGTTCACATAAAGATAACAGTAAATTAAAAGGATCTGTTGTACATAATTCAAGTAATAACAGTCAAAGAGAAATAAATGGCTTGTCATCAATTGGTCAGCAAAATATACATCTGAGAATGTCTAAACTTATAAAACAAGAAAATTATCAAATTAAAGAAGAATTGTTAGATTTAACTTGCTTGGAAGAAGCTGTTAAAGATGAAGAAATGTTTACCTTGAACATAAGCCAAGTGGAAGAGTTGATTTCTAATCAAAAGGAGCAAAAAATTAGAGAAAATGAAAATTCCTGTGACCTACAGCATTTTCAGACTGCGAGTGGTAGAAATATTAGGGTCTCAAAGGAATCTTTCAATAAAGTTGCACATCTGTTTGCTGAAGAATGCTCAGTAAAAGAATTAAATAATTTTTCATTTCCTTTGATTTTGGAGATGCCAAATGTTGCTTGTAATAAACCAATGGAACTTTCAGGGAAAGAGGAAGAAAACTTAGTTGAAAGTGAAACAGAAGAAATGGCTCTTGGTGCTACTAAAAATCAGTTGATATCTATCCAACAGGGACCAAAAATTGAAAACAAAAAATGGAAAGAACATAGTATGGTGAGTTTTCATACTGCTAGTGGAAAAAAAGTTGTAATTTCAAATAAATCTTTGGCTAAAGTGAAGCACTTTTTCGTTGAGGAAAATTTAGAAAATGATGCTACTTACATTGAGAATCTTGAGACAGAACTTTTTAAGCAAAGAGAAAAAGCTAATGAAAAGCATAGACAAGCTTATGAGATGGTTGAGTTAAATAATGCCCAAATGAGGGAAGAAATGCAAAATTATCAGGGTGATGATGAAAAAATCCTTGTTTCTATTAGAACTGCAGGTCCACCTAAAATAACTGATAGTGCTCCTTCTAATGAACCTTCAAATAGTATTTTATTTGAAGAAAAACTGTCTGAAAATAAAGAAAGTAAAGAAAATTGTATGTTGTCTGATACAAAACAGTCTACTGATTTGCCTGTTGGAATTTCAGGTTTGGGATTTTACACAGGACATGGTAAAAGCATTTCTGTAAGTGAAACTTCATTACTGGCAGCAAGAAAATGGATTAGAGAGAGAGACTTAGAAGATTTAGGAGGAAACATCTCTTATGTTGATGGGATCATATGTTTAAAAGCAGACTCTGATGTCCATGGGGAGAAGCTTGTGCCTTTAAATACTTCAAATAATACATCATCAGTTGAAGACAAAAACTGTATCTCTGATAAGCAAGATTCAGCTAATTTAAGTAATAATATGTCAAAGATTAAACATAATTTAAAACATGATACAAAAAGGTCTGATTTTTGTCATTCAGATAATGCAGATTTCTTCCCAGAGCATACATCTAATAAAGTAATGTCATGTCTTAAGACAAGACCACCTGCATTCACTACAGCAAGTGGCAAGACAGTTCGAGTTTCACATGAAGCAGTACAAAAAGCAAGAGAGATGTTTATAAATGATTGTGATAAGTTCCTTAAACCAAACATTGAGACCAAATCAGAAAATAATGAAATGGAAATTGCAAAAGATTTTTCTAAGACATTGGAAAACAAAGAGGATGTTTCTCTTAAATCTTTTGGTGGCAAGAAGAAGAATATGTCCACAGCTGATATTTTTGTTTCAAATAAAAAATGCAGTAAACTAGCACAACTTGAAAATATATCAACAAATACTGGATTAGAGATGGACTCTGAACTGTCACATTATCAAATAAATTCTAAAACTTCTGATTTGTATAAATCTACTATGGGAAGAGTGACTAACTGTAGCTCTTCTGTTGGGATTTTTTGTACAGCCAATGGCAAACCTGTACAAGTATCAGATAATTCATTGCAGAAAGCCAGACAAGTATTTTCTGAAATAGAAAGTAATTCTGAGAAATTACTTCCCATGACATCCTTTAAAGATATTGAAAGCCATCCAGAAACATTATTAGGAGAAGAAAATGCCGTGTTATATGCAAAAACTAACTTACTATCAGAAAAGAAAGACTATTTAAGTAATATGCCAAATTTACATAACAACTCTGGATTTAGTACCGCAAGTGGAAAACAGGTTTCAATCTCTGAAAATGCATTGAAGAAAGTTAAAGCTATGTTAGTAGAATTTGATTTAATGAAAAGTGAGTGTTGTGTTGAGCATTTACCTGAATCTACACAAAATGATACACCAAAAGTTCTGTCTTCTATTCCTTGTATTGATGGTGGTAAAAACCCAAAACATACTGCAAATTCCAAAAATGAAGAAACTTGTAATAAAGAGCTCAACTTCTCAAATAATTGTAATGTTGAAATAAATTCCTCAGAAAATAGTAGCGTACTAAAGTTTCTTGTAATCAATTTAAACAAGATGAGATGCAATCACCTTTAGAAACTAAGCTGACTCCTGCTAAAGATATTTCATTTTTGAAAAAAGAACTAGTTGGCCATAAGAATGTGAACGTGGAAGGTGATGAAATTTTAGCTGATCTTCCTGTGAAAGGAAGCCTGCGAGTTTCTTCTGACTCCAAAGCCCCAGAAAATTCTCTTGATAGAGAAGCAATGGAAATTGCCAAAGCTTTTATGCAAGATGATGAACTCACAGATTCTGAATTGCCTCTTAATGCCAAACAGTCATTTTTTACTTTTAAAAACAAAGAGCGCATGCAACTAAATTCAAGATTTGGGAAAAGAAGAATGGAAAAACATGCTTCACATGGTAGGTCTCTTAAATTTTTTTTCAGTGTACAATTTAATAGTTAAATAGAGTGAATCCCCTTGTTTGATATTATTGATCTAACCAAATTGTATTAGACATGTGTAGTTTATGTTTAGGGGAATGTAATTTGACTCATTCAGTCCATGAGATAGTAAATCCTAATGGGAGTTACCTATATTCAGATATTTTTACAGTAGTTAATAGTAACACCAAATGATTATATTTACAGTATAATACTATATGAATATTACAAGGCTGTTTGATAACATTTTACATATATAGATACAGAGCATTCAGGTTCATTTCATCCAACCTATAGCATTTTCCTGTAGAAGTGAAAAAAATCAAATGGGGCATAAAATCTTAAAACCATTTACATTTTGATTTTAGTAGAAAATGTAAGTAATTCAAGTGAATCATCACATTACATCACATATTACACAGTGAATCAAAGTTTCATTAATAGGAATGCTTTCTGCAGTAGTTCATTTCACAGCCTGCAATTACTTATTTCAGTCCATATATATAATGTTTACAGCTTTTGCTTTTCCAAATTACCTAATGACTTCTCTGTGACTAAGAACACAATTAATATGGATTGGGCAGGGGGTAGGGGAAATGTAAATTCTTGACTTATAGTTCCCTTTATACTTTAATACCTCAAAAATCTATTATAATTAATGTGGCTACTCCCTCTATTGACAATTTGTAATTCTTCTATAAATTAGTGAAGTGCTTCATTGTCCAAAAAAAGTATTGTTTTGCAACCATTTTGTTGCTTAGGTAGGCTGGTTCTTCAATGACAGATTTCACGGGGGCCATACATGGAAGCCTTTCTGGCTTTGTGTAGGATCTTCCAGTTTGCAAGTGCTATCATAACCTTCAAGGAACCTATAATAAGTCTTCAGTTAGTAGAGGATGTATGTGTGTGTGTGTGTACACACACACACATACATATATACATACATACACATGTATGTGTGTATTAAATCTGCTTTCTTCATAACTTCATCTGTAACTTAAATTTACCTTTTTAAATAAATTTGTCACATTTTGATAAATTGGGTTGCTGAAAGCTACTATTAGTTTTCTAGATATTTCATATTCAATTTTCCTTCAAAAATGTTATTGCTATGCAGGATATGGGATACAATGTATGACACCTATATATTTAAAATTAATATGCTCTTTTTATTTGTGAAACCTTTAAGCGTGTCTCTTTATTTTTAGCTCTTAAATCCTATTTGAATTTAGTTTTGTTTGCTATCATAGCAAAACCAGGTAGTTGTAGCATAATAAATTTTGGCTTATCTTTTCAATTTAAAGCTATTTATATGTTTGGGGATTAAATATATTTCCAATAAAGAACATGTTATTGGCTTTTGCTTTAAAGTTATTCTCTTATCCTTTTTCATTTTATAATCCATTTACATTTCAGTCCACTTAAATTCCATTACTTATTTATTTTGTCTTCTACCATTCATTACATTCTTGTTCATTTTGCTAGATTACCTGGTTTTTTTTGCTTCCTATCCACAAACTTAAGAAACACAAAATATTATCTCTAATAATCTTTCTTTCCTTTCCATTCTCCTGCCTTTTTTCTTTATCTGAAATGCTCTCTTAATTCTTTTTAAAAACTAATTTTTGGAAGCAGCTAGGTGATGTCAGGGGATAGAGCACCAGCCCTGGAGTCAGGAGGACCTGAGTTCAAATCCAGTCTCAGATACTTGACGCTTACTAGCTGTGTGACCCTGGGCAAGTCACTTGACCCCAATTGCCTCACAAACAAGACAAAAAAAACTTGTTTTTGCTTTTTTGTGTTCTTCTTCCCCCGACCCCTACTCCCCAATCTAACTGGAGCTTAGCACAGTGCCTAAGACAGTGTATATTGTGTATATACTGGGTAACTGATGCAGTACCATAATTGGTTTTTAATCACACTATAGTGATTAAGATAGTAACTTGTTAATTACAATTGAAAAGTATTTTTCTGAGTACTTAATTCTTTTTTTGTTTGTTTGTTTTTTGTTTTTTGCTTTTTTGCTTTTAGGCAATTAGACTTGCCCAGGGTCACACAGCTAGGAAATATCAGGTGTTTGGTCTGAGGCCAGATTTGAACTCAGGTCCTCCTGACTTCAGGGCTAGTGCTCTATCCACTGCGCCACGTAGCTGCCCCTACTTAATTCTTCATATGCCATTTTACCTCCAATTTTCTCTTGGGTTTTCTCCACATCTGGCCCAGAGGATCTTTTTTTAAAGCTAGGTACCTCCCCCCATGACTTTTTGAAAGTAATCTTAATTTTCAAATACATTCTTGGTCAAAAATAATACATAAAATTTTCTGGGATTCAGGCCTAGTTTTTTGTTTTTAAGTTTTATGTATCTTATTCTAACTCCTTATAGGATCTTTGTGGTTCTTAAAGGAAAGAAATAGTGAGTTCAGTGGATAAAAAAGATTTGGCAGAATACTGGATGTGCAGATAAGGCAGAATCAAGAATCAAGGATGATTCCAAGTCTACACAGCTTTTGCGGCTTTTGACACTGTCAACTGTCCTCTCTTCTTGGACAGTCTAGTCTCTTCTCCATTGGTTTCAGTACTGCTACAGTCTGGATCCTTCATTCTGTTTGACCCTTCCTCTCTCATCATCCTATTCCTGTTCACAAAGGGTGGGTACTACCTAAGGTCTTTTCACAACCAAATTTGAGAATAGAAAGATCTCAGGAACTCAACCCACAAACAAAAGGAATCCCCAACATAAAAAAACCAACAAGTGGTCATCTAACTGCTGTTTGAAGACCCATGAAGGAGAGGAAACACACTACTCCCTCAGACAGTTGCAACCCATTTCACTTTCAGACAGCTCTGAGTGTTAGGAAATTTTTGGTGACATCAGTTCTATATTTGCCTCTTTGCAGCTTCCATGCATTGCTCCTAGCTCTGCACTCTGGAGACAAACAAAAGATAAGTCTTCCCTTACAAGACAGTCCTTCAGTACCTTAAGACAGCTATCCTGTCCTGGTCCCAGCTCCCCTGGTTTTACTTATCTCTTATGCTGATGACTCCCAAATCCAAGTCTAGTCCTTATTATTTACTACTTGTTAATAGATATTCATCCACAGATAACTGGTCCCACAGGCATCACAAATTCAATGTGTACAAAATGAAACTTATCTTTCCCCACAAACTTATCTCTTCAAACTTTACAACTGCCTTTCTGGTCTTGTTTCATATTATTTCCCTTCCTATGCTGTCTGTAGTAGTCAAACTGGTTCAGTAGCTGTTCCCCATACATAGAATCCCATTTTCTTTTGATATACCTTTGCACCTGTCCTTCCAGTTTGGAATTCATTTCCTTCCTTATATCTGCTTGTAGTTTATTTCAAAACATCCCTCTTAATTATTTGCTTATGCTCTCTGTATTGTCAAATTACTTATATCTTCTGTGCATATTTTGTACTTACATGTGTGCTTTTTTTATATATCCCCAGCATCAAGTACATTGCTTTGTACATACTATGTTTTTAATAAATGTTTTTTTGATATTAATTTGGATCAAATCCAGTAAACATTTATTGAGTGCCTACTATGTTCTAGGCACCGTGCTGAACACTGGGGATACAATTAATGAAAAGAAAGACAGTCCCTGCCCTCTAGGAAGTTACAATCTAATTGGGGGGGAGTGGGAAGGGAGAGACTACACCAAAGGAGCCAGGAAAGCAAGGGGGGGGGAGTAGGAGACGGGGCTTCTTGTTCCATGAAGTTGAAACCAGACAGAGCAGCAGATAACAGAGGGGAGTAAGCATGAAAGGTCCAGTTTCTGCCTCCTATAAAGGAAAGCATCAGGAGGAGTTTAGTCATCCATCCTCCAGCCCTCCAATCAGAGGGGAGAGGAGGCTGAGGAAGTATCAGTCATGGCTTGAATTAGCAGCATGGTAGATCAGAAGAAAGTGCCTGGACCACGTTAAGTCATCCACCACAAAAATGCTTTCATTGAGTTTCTATTCAGTATTGTTGCCTTGACATTTATTAGAGATCCTTTATAAGAAACCCATTTGATTTGTGAGGTTTTTACGCCCTAATATTTGGTCAATTTTTGTGAACTTGCTATGTATAGCTAAAAATAGGTATATTATTTTCTATTCCTAATATTTATTCCCCAGAATGCTATCCTATATAAATTTTCTGAAATTCTGGTTCTTCATCTGTCTTTTTTTTGTTGTTGTTAGATTAATATAGGTCTGTGAGAGATAAATTAAGGTCCCCTAGTTTTATCATTTTACTATATGTTTTTTCCTATAATTCATTTAACTTTTCCTTTAGGGACTTAGATGCTCAGACATTTGGTGCATACATGTTTAGATAATAATTCATTGTCTATGGTACCTTTTTGCAAAATGTAGTTTACTTGTTAATTTCTCTCTTTCTCTCCCTCTCTCGAATTATATTTGCTGTTGCTTTGTCTGAGATCCTAATTACTATCCCTGCCTTTTTTACTTCATCTAAAGCATAATAGATTCTGTTACAACCTGTTGTTTTCACTCTGTATCTTTCTGCTTCAAGTGCATTTTTTATAAACAACACATTTTAAATTCCAGTTTAAGAAATAACAGTTCTCTGTCTTTGTCATGACAAGAGTTGACAACCCTACTCAATATATTATTTAGAGTGTCTCATTTCAGAGCTCATGCAATACATTACTTATTGAATTTAGCCATAAGAAAAAATTTTTAGGGGCAGCTAGGTGGTACAGTGGGTAGAGCACCGGCCCTGAAGTCAGGAGGACCTGAGTTCAAATCCAGCCTCAGACCAAACACTTGACACTTACTAGCTGTGTGACCCTGGACAGGTCACTTAACCCCAATTGCCTAAAAGCAAAAAAAAAAAAAACAAAAACAGAAAAAAAAATTTTCCTGGTGACCAATTGCTGTGCTTTCTTTTTAATAGACAATAAAAATACGTAAAACAAAAAGGGAATAATTTAAAACCAAATTTAAT